CATCTGTCTGATAATCATTTATTAAAACTTAGTCCAGTATGAATCATCAACACCATCATGCATCATACATCCATCATTCATCATACACAGGTGGTCAGTAGTTTGATCAGCAGTGCTGTGTGGTCAGTAGTTTGATCAGCAGTGTTGTGTGGTCAGTAGTTTGGCCAGCAGTGCTGCATAGCAGTAGTTTGATCAGCAGTGCTGCACAGCAGTAGTTTGATCTGCAGTGCTGTGTGGTCAGTAGTTTGATCAGCAGTGTTGTGTGGTCAGTAGTTTGATCAGCAGTGCTGTGTGGTCAGTAGTTTGATCAGCAGTGTTGTGTGGTCAGTAGTTTGGCCAGCAGTGCTGCATAGCAGTAGTTTGATCAGCAGTGCTGTGTGGTCAGTAGATTGACCAGCAGTGCTGTGTGGTCAGTAGTTAGATCAGCAGTGCTGTGTGGTCAGTAGTTTGATCAGCAGTGTTGTATGGTCAGTAGTTTGATCTGCAGTGTTGTGTGGTCAGTAGTTAGATCAGCAGTGCTGTGTGGTCAGTAGTTTGATCAGCAGTGCTGTGTGGTCAGTAGTTTAATCAGCAGTGCTGTGTGGTCACTAGTTTAGTCAGTTTCAGATTCTGCCTCATAGTGAGACTCAGAAAAAGGTGAACAGGTCAGAAATGCTAACAGTAGTAAATGTCCAGCTTTTCACAGACAAAGTTACAGCAGCTGAGAGAAACAACGTCTACCACAAAGTGCAGCATCGGTCATCATGGTGATCAGGTCACTGTGGATCAAATCTCTCTCTTAATTTAAAGTTAGTTATCAGTTAAAAACATGTCTGTAAAACCCACCAGTCTTTAATGACTCATTCATCTGATCTAGTATTATAAGTACTAGAAATCAGAACTGAAAGTGGAGCTCAGGAATGAGAGCCGGTTGAAACACACAAGAAGTAGCTTGTCGTCAGTTCAGTAGAACTGAATAAGAATCTGATGCTCTCATCTTCTTAAAAATAAGTGTAGAGGATGTATAATGCAGTGTGTTCACATGTACAGTGCTTTATTATAAATAACTCTTCATGATGATGATACACTGGTCACCACATGTTTGCTGACCCCACATACACAGAACTACACTGGTATCAGTGAAGGTCAACCACTCCAGAAACACTGCATGTGTATAAAATGGTGGACTTTATCTTTTGAAATATGAAACTAACCAAATGAAAACAGTACAATATCACAGAAACCCAAACTCTGATGAGGACTTTAGTAAACAACCCAGGTGTGAAGACAGTCTCCACTTTACCTTCTGTAACCCACACTGAACCCATATTAATCACAGGATCTCTAGTTTAATACTGTAGTTTCTCACAGTAGACCAGTTTATCATATTACACACCTGTACACACCTGACCACACACCTGTAAACACACCTGACCACACACCTGACCACACTCCTGTACACACACTCCTGTACACACACACCTGAACGCACCCCTGTACACACACCTGTACACACACCTGTACACACACCTGAACGCACCCCTGTACACACACCTGTACACACACTCAATCACAGTCCAAATTGAATGATACTCTGACAACTTCCTTTTCCTCAGAAAGAGAAAACCAGTTGGAGCACATTTCACTCTCACTATATTAAAAGTGTATCTGAGGTCAAATCAAACTCTTCAAATGTGTATTTGAGTATAAAACTTTATTCTGATGTATAAATACTCAGGGCTTTGGGTTTATATGTGTGTAAAGTCAGTAAATACTGAACAGACTGTCTGTATGTGACCCAGAAATCCAGACAGACAGCAGTGCTGCTGTTTTAATGGTCTCATTATTAACTACATCATCCATGTACAGTCAGATTAAACAGGTTCTAATGTTCCACTCATACATGAAGAGAAACACAGCATGAAGCTCAGTGACAGAGTTACTGCAGGAGAACTTCAGGAAGTTACTGTGTTTCTGAGAGAGACAGAGAGAGACAGAGAGAGAGAGACAGAGAGTGACAGAGAGAGACAGAGACAGAGAGAGAGAGAGAGAGAGAGAGAGAGACAGTGAGAGAGAGAAAGATGCATCACAAAATTTGTTTGTAAGCTGTTCCAACAATAGAATCATCTGCCTCACTTAAAAACTACTATAAAAACTATGAATACAATATTATTTTCAGTTTCACTGCACTACATGACCAAGTTGGTCAGTTATGTTTAAACACTGATAACATCTACACAATGCTTAGAAAAGCACACTGTGACATTGTAAACCTCTAAGTGCAGGTGTGTGTGTGTGTGAGTGTGTGTGTGTGTGTGTGTGTGTGTGTGTGTGTGTCCACATTCTTTGGCTCCAGTTCAGCTTGTAACCAGAAACCAAACTGGTTTAACTGATCAAAGTTCCACAAAAAAATATTTTCCAATTTGGTAAGTGGTGCTCTGTGGTCAGTAGTTCAATCAGCAGTCCTGTGTGGTCAGTAGTTAGATAAGTGGTGATGTGTGGTCAGTAGTTTGATCTGCAGTGCTGTGTGGTCAGTAGTTTGATCAGCAGTGCTGTGTGGTCAGTAGTTCTATCAGTGGTGCTGTGGTCAGTAGTTAGAATAGTGGTGATGTGTGGTTTCCACTGCAGAATCATGTCTGTTTTTAATCCAGTCCCACAGTTGTCAATCATCAACCACCAGGTGTTTTTTTAGCATTACACAACTTTACCAGCCTTTTGTTACCCTGCCCCAATTTTTTTGGAACGTGTTGTTGGCATCAAATTTTAAATTGGCAAATATATATAAAAAAACAAACATTTCTCAGTTTCTACATTTGATATGTTGTCTTTGTACTATTTTCATTAAATATAGGGTTTAAATGATTTGCACATCATTGCATTTTGTTTTTATTTACATTTTGCACCCACACATTGTGTCCCAACTTTTTTGGAAATGGGGTTGTAGATAATTACAAACAGACCACTATCAGAATATCTCTGACATATGATGAGAGGCACTTTAACCAGCTCGTCGACCCTGTCTGTCTATTTGCACACAGCATCCAAAACATGAAGCTACTTTCTTATTGTCTAGTTCTTTTTCAGATGTTATGTGTGACACCATTTAAGGTGGACTGAAAACTCTGAATAAGAAGCTGAACAGGAAGTCAGTTTCCACCTCACTCATACCTTTTGGCTCAAGAACAGCGAGTTTGAGAAGAGTTTGTTAGCTGATACCAAACGCGATGAACTAAATTAATCAAACTTGATGTTTGAAAAACTTTTATTTTGTTAAAACCATAGAAGTACAGTAAGTTTGAATATAAAAATATGAACATATCCTGATCTTGTATGTGCTCTAGCTGTGAAGCGTCCAATCTGCTGTGCAGCACAAAACAACTGAGGTCTGTGACAAGCTATAGCCTATTGTTTGATCCAGTGCCATAGGTAGACATACATTTTTGGGTAGGCCTGTGAAAAAGTGGGTTGGTCAACAAAGTACATGCAATTTCCAAATGCGCTAATGTCCCATCAGCCTACAGCCTATTCCAGCCATGCAGTCATAACCCTACCTAATCCATCATTACTGCTCTATGGTAATTCAAAACAATAGCAATTAACCAGAATACAGGATTCATATAGACACAATTAACACTGTAGCACCCTTCACTATAAAGCCTATGTCTGCTCATCACAGCCATGTTTGCCCAATGAAGACGACATTACTGAGGTAAAATCAGACAGCTGAGACGTCCACAGATGAGAAAAAAACAAAACAGTAAACGTTAAACCCTAAACTTTATCACTGTAGGCTAAAGCGTACTGCCACAGCGGGAATGAAGAATATTTATGATCCATTCATGTCTTACCTTAATGCACTGAAGTAACGTTAGATGTTTACTTTCACATTTTCACAAAGCCCATGTTTGCCTTTGTAGTAATATAACATTATAAGTACAAAATCCACAGAAAACTATTTTTTTTTTAAAGTACAAATCGTTAGGATGGAATCTCACATTTAAACATCCACAGTTCCATCTTTTTACCCAACTGGAGCTTCAAATTCAAAACACTGACACGCTGAACGAACCGAAGGCTTGAGACAATGGTGGATAGCAAACGTTGCTGTGCATTGATTGGAGGGCTTAGAAGAGAAGGCGGAGTTTGGGGGAGAGTGTAATGATTTGATTGGGCAAAATACAGACAGCTCTCACAGAAAACAAATCAAATTTCCCCAAGACCTGTCATCAACCTGGGCAGGTGCAGGTAGTGGAAGGGAAATAAATAACTAAATTAAATAAATAAATAAAAAACAAACAAACAACAACAACAAAAAAAAAAACAGCCAATTAAAGGCCCTGAATTACTCTGGGCCCTGGGCTTCAGTCCCTGCTTCAAGTTGCATGTGCACATCATCCCTTTCAAAACAAAAACCTTGTACCTCTATTTTTGTGGTTTTTTAAGATTTTACAGAATTTGAAAACGCCAGCTGTTCCTTAGAATGTGTTAAATTTCATAATGAACTGGTGAATAGAAATGCTACAGAATTACTTGGAAATGCTATTCTGTTAACTTCCGTTCAAAGTTAAGTAGATTTTTCTTCCTCTGTAAACAATTTCACTAAACACTGATTATCGGAATTTAAAGATTTTTTTTTGCTGCCTCCAACTCCAGTCAGTGCTGTGAGGCTTTAACTGTATTGTACGGAGACAGTCATAAACAGATAAATATATTTAAAGGAGTGCAAAATAAAAACAGCCTTGAATAAATACAGAATGCAGATCTGTAGGCTAAAGAAAAAATATACACAGTGCAAAGAAACATACTGTGAAACATTACATAAAAAACCTACAGAAAGTAGTAATCAGAACTAGAAAACAGCAGAATCAACTTCCTATATAGACATTGGCAAATAACCACAACTGAACTGAAAACTTCACCTCTCTAACCTCAGTTCAGTTTGAGAGTCTGTTTCATACTGAAAGTTAAAAACAAACAGTAAATCAGTAATAATGTCCATTAAAAGGTGAGAGCAGAGTTACCTGTTTCTGAGGTCAGAGTTCAGAGTCTTTCAGAGTCTTCAGTTAGAAAAGTTCAGCTCCGTCTTTATCAGGATCTCCAGTCCTACAGCAGAGACACTCATCAGCTCATATATGATAATACGATCTGTAGTTTCTCACAGTAGACCAGTTTATTATATCACACTCCTGAACACACTCAGCTCCTCTACTGGACTTTAGACTGAATGATTAACTAGCTGTAACTTCCTTTTCCTCAGAAAGAGAAAACCAGTTGGGGCACATTCAGTCACATTAGAGTGTATCTGATATCAAATCTTAACAAGACTGGGCAAGCAGAGTTTTGAAGGATCAACATCAGCTACACTGCATTTGTCATACAAGTGTCTAAGTGTCTACTGGATTTATTTATATACAAAACTTTATGTACTGGGTGGAAAATTCATACTTTATGTTATTAAACATATGGGAAACAGTGACTAAGAAGTGGTTATTAAGAATAAATAAACTACAAGTTTATATAGTTTTGGTCTTGAAAATTCATTAATAAATATCTTTTAAACATAACTAGCTCTTTGAAAGCTATTTCCAGGTCATTTGTAAGCATGTATTAAGAGGCAAGTATCTATATATAAAGGATGAGTATGTTCCACTTGCAAATTCATTTATAAACATTTGTTAAATGTATCTAATTATTTGCACATTATTTTTAAGGAATTTGTAAACATTTACAAACTACCATACACAACTGTGGACAGATTAATAAAGACTAACAAAGCACCTGAACTACTCTCAGCCAAAAAATGCAACAAATTTGCAGAATGTTTCATGGGACAAAATCATAAATATCATCGCTGCCAGAAAATAATGCTGCCCCACACACAACTCTGCACAATAAGACTTTAGCTACAGTGGTGTGAAAAAGTGTTTGCCCCCTTCCTGATTTCTTATTCTTTTGCATGTTTGTCACACTTAAATGTTTCAGATCACCAAACAAATTTAAATATTAGACAAAGATAACACAAGTAAACACAAAATGCAGTTTATAAATGAAGATGTTTATTATTAAGGGAAAAAGAAAACCTACAGGGCCCTGTGTGAAAAAGAAAACATCTTGATGATCCCCAAGACTTTTGGGAGAATACTCTGTGGACTGACGAAACAGAAGTTGAACTTTTTGGAAGGTGTATGTCCCGTTACATCTGGCGTAGAAGTAACACAGCACTTCAGAAAAGGAACATCATACCAACAGTAAAATATGGTGGTGGTAGTGTGATGGTCTGGGGCTGTTTTGCTGTTTCAGGACCTGGAAGACTTGCTGTGGTAAATGGAACCATGAATTCTGCTGTCTACCAAAAAATCCTGAAGAGAATATCCGGCCATCAGTCCGTGACCTCAAGCTGAAGCGCACTTGGGTTCTGCAGCAGGACAATGATCCAAAACACACCAGCAAGCCCACCTCTGAATGGCTTAAGAAAAACAAAATTAAGACTTTGGAGTAGCCTAGTGATCTGATTGAGATGCTGTGGTATGACCTTAAAAAGGTGGTTCATACTCAGAAACCCTCCAATGCGGCTGAATTACAACAATTCTGCAAAGATGAGTGGGCCAAAAGTCCTCCACAGCGGTGTAAAAGACTCATTGCCACTAATAATGCCTAGTTTTTCTTAGTTATGCTTGTCTTTTCCATCAGTGAGCCATTTAAAATATAAACGAGTGGAATGTCTTTATTTAGCCATTCACTTAGAAATTTGATACTTCATCATTTTGAATACTGTCATAATTAAAAAAAAAACTACTGTATACCTTATTACCATTATATTGCCAACTCTAATGTTGATAACACACAAGCACTAGCTTGTTATCAGTTCTTAGAATCTGATGCTGTGACTGCCCCCCCTCACATCTTCAGCCAGAAATAGCCTCCCACAGAACTGTGGCTGAGAATGAGCTGCTGCTTGTGTGTTTGTGTTGATATCAGACTCTCGTTCTCGAGCTTCACTTCAAGTTCTGATTAAAGATTTTTTCCTCATCTCACCATTAATTACCAGGTAGGATTGAAGGATTAAAGGATACAGAAGTCAACAGCTATAACTAACAACTGTTAGGGAGTCTTCACAGAGTCTAATGTCTAATGACTGGACACTTCCTGATTTCTGTTGTTTAGCTTCTTGACTGAGCTTGCAAAGCAACAACGGACCTAAACTAAGCTGCTTTATAGCTGTTTATATAACTAATATTAAGAACTATAGAGCAGGTTTGTATGTCTACTTGATCAAGCTGTTGTAACACAGCCAATTACAGTTAGTTAAACATGTCTGACTTTAGAAGAACAAACACTTCAGGATGAGCTACTCATACATATTCATTATTGTTTGAAGCATCACAGAAAGCAGGTCATCTGAGGCTGATTCATTATATTAGCCGTACACAGGGTTGGGTAGTAATGGAATACATGTAACAGCATTTCATAATCAAGATATAAAAAAGGTAACTATATTCTGTGACAGCAAACAGATTAAAGATGTATGATATTAAAATGACATTAAAGTCACAGATGTGCAACTAATTTGTACAAACTCCCCACTTCCAATAATAAATATGACACTCATTATGCCACTGACTATCTAGTAATCTAACTTTTAAAAATGTTAACTGAAACCTTTGTGAGTTGAAATGCCAATGCTAAGACAATCAGCTTCCACTGTTTTGTGAGAAATCAATGCCTTTTAAAATTCATAGGACACATCAAATTCTGTGGACAGCAGCTGAACTGAGGAACCATCTACAAATTACACTGCTTGGTTTCTGTAGTTTTTCAGTGAAAGTGAGTGTGCATGTCTGAACTTAAACAGCTTACACCGTACAAATTTGTCATTTTTATGTTTGGATTTCAGCATTTGGCCATTTTACTAAATGTGAGATCAGTGACCGTCTGTGTGGAACACAATCTCAGCTGTTTGTGTTCCGATCTTCTCCACTGTGGTTCAACATCACACACATAGCAAAGAAAATTACAAGGTAAAAACAATTTATTTCATTTTTTATTCCAAACTACACCTGACTTATTTAATTACCTGATTAAATAAATAAAATATTTCCTGACATTTTCAAATGGATACATACATAGCAGTCATAAAGCATGGACGATTATGTGGTATATAGAATACATTTTTGTAGTGACGCTCCCAACCCTGACTATACCATGTGTTATAGTGTCATCATATTATAACCAGTGAAAAATCTCAGTGTTTTCTGTACATTGTTAAATACATAACAGTATTGTATGAAATCTGTTGTAGCTCAATCTGTCATCAATGTATTTAATATTAATTGCTTATCCTGAAGCAGCAATGCAATCATGATCATCACATGATCACATACATATAAAATGTTGGTCAGTGTTATTAATAATAATAATAGTAATGAACTACACAGATTGTGCTTTTACGCTGCAGGGTTTACTGATAAAGCTGATAATGTTCAGTTTAACCATCAAAACCTGAACACACTTTAATCAAACTCCATAATGAAGAACTGAGTCCATACAGTGAACATTACACTCATACATTCATAAACAGGTTCATTTCCTACCTTTATATTTCTGGACACTGTGTGATGTTAAACAGGCCGTTTCTCCTCTGGAGTGAATGTAATGTTGTCTGTTCTGTTAAGAGAGATGATGAAGTCACAGTGGGTGAAGTTCACTGAGCAGCGTCACTAAAACAGGTTCAGTCTAAATCTCAGTGATGCTGTGAAGAAGAAAACACTCTGCATGTCATTTGACCTACAGTCTCACTGAGACACACAGACTGCAGTGTTTTCTTTATGACGAGCTAAAGTAAACAGGATGAAACACACCGAGTCACATCACCACATTACACCATTCTCCAAAACATCCATCAGCTTCCCATAAAGAAACACATTCAGTTTAAAATCCTTCTCCATTCAAAGCTCTCAACAATCTTGCTCTTTCCTGTCTGTGTGACCTTCAACCATACAAGCCCTTGCACTCTCTGATCTTTTACACCTGGACTGCTTACTATTTCCAAGGCAGCGGGGAGGCCTGTCATACAGATTTCAGTTGATGCCATGTTGGAGTATCTTCTACAAAGTGAGCATCAGATGTGGATACATTGCTCTACCATCATCTTATCTGCTTACCTGCTACATTAATTGTGGGGAGCAAAATTAAGTGGGCTAAAAGCCTGTGTTAACACTAGCTAACGTCACATTCCCAAACAAGGCCTCTATCTACTGTTTTTACCAGCTAACATGAACCAGATCACTATATCACACATGTATCAGCGATCTTTACTATTTATTAAAAAAGTAACCAGAACTTTTATATTGTGTGAAGAGTTATGTTGTGTATTGTGTAAGAGTCTATTTATTTTAAACAAACTGGTAGCTGTGCAGTTGGCTAGTTGGCTTCAGGTGCTGAATTATCAGTAGTGGTATGTCTGTCACAGAAAGTGACTGTCCTACACACAGTGTCCTTTCAGTATCATAAGAATGTGAAGCAGTGTGTCAGTGTTACTCCTGTTTATAACAGACTCATTATATGACAATTGTTCTGAATTTGGTTGAACTTTTTTTAATTATATTTTTATTAGGAAATAGCTGTTTAGTTTCACAGAAATATATTGACAAATTGCATCAATACTACCTTAACATATAGAAAATTGACTATACAATGAAATCCTCAATGTACCAAGTCCAGTCTGTGACACAGCTTTTCCAGTATTTTGAGAAAATGTTCCTTTAGAACAAAACTATTCACAGTAGAACATAATAAGGGGAGTTTACATTCTAAAGATCTTACATAGCACATCTTCACATATTCAGTCCAGCAAGAAAAAAGGATCTGGCCTTATTGGTTTTACATACTAATCCATTTTGCCCATATCTGGTTAAACAATTCCTTTTGCATTTTGAGGGAGGCGGAGAGCTTTTCCATTATATAAATATCATGTATTACATCCATCCATTCATTCACAGTAGGTGGGTCTGGTTTTATCCATTTTCTAGTGATAGCCTTTTTACTAGCTACTAAAAGTATGAGAGCCAATTTCTTATCCTTGCTGTTCCACATCTCGAAAGGAATATTAGCCAAATATATAGAATCACATCTGAAAGGAATTTCCTTTCCAAAAATAGCTTCTAATCTTTATGTATCTCCGTCTAGAAGGGAGCAAGAGCTCCGCATCCCCAAAAGACATGAAAATGGTCAGCATCATTTTTCCCACAGTGTCTCCAGCATCCTGTGTCAAAACCTGAATGTCGTTTTTGCAACCGTGTGATAAAAAAGCGCATAGTATTTTTCCAAGCAAATTCTCTCCACATTGCTGAACGGGTTGATTTCCATTGTAGTTGGCACATTCTATGCCACTCTTCTTCTGTAATTAACATATTTCCCTCTTTTTCCCATTTCTCTTTGACATAAATTGTATTTTCAGATTTTGAAGAAGCCCTTTATATAATATAGAAATAACTTTATTACCCATCTCTGATTTACATGTTGACAAAAATATCTTAAAAATTCCTACTTCATTTGTCTTCACAGCTTTGTCCAGATTTTGATTAAAGTAGTGTCGGACTTGGAGATATCTTTAAAAGTCACTTTGTTCCAAACCATATTTCGTCTGCAAAGAATCAAAACTCATAATGGTTCCCTTTTCAATAAATGTGTAGTAACTTAAGAGTCCTTTTCCCACCCAGGCCCGGAACCTATCATCAAATTTTGTTTGGGATAAAGTCTGTGTCATATGCGCACCACTTCAAAAGCCTAGATGAGCTTTGTAAGCCACATAACTTAACTGTCCTGTCCCAGACTTTCATTGCAATATTTATCCATGGATTATTCTTATCTATCATTTTATTCCTCAGTTTACTATCTGCAATCGTAGCTGCTAACGGCTGCCCTTGTAACAAGGCTCTTTCTATTTCTATCCATCTCGCTGAGTATGTCGGGTTACACCAACACACTAAGGGCCTTAGCTGAGCTGCATAATAGTGATCGTATAGACAAGGAAGGTTCAATCCTCCCCTTTCCTTTAATAAGCTGCAAAGTTTTATATCTAATCCTAGGCTTTTTCCCTTGCCACAGAAATCTTGATATTAATTTAATTTACTTCCACTGGTAGAGTTTGAAAAAGATAAAGCATCTTAGGTAAGATATTCATTTTAACACGTACAACTCTAAAGTACAGACTCAAATAGGGAATAACGTTCCATCTGAACAAATCTGACTTAATCTTAGCAGTTACAGGGCCATAATTACATTTGAATAATTCTGAGGTTTCCTTGGCCAAATTAACTCCAAGATATTTGATTGAACGGGCATCCCAGTTAAATTTATGCTTTTTTCGAATATGATTCGGTGGATCATAATTAAAAGTAATAATTTGGGTCTTCTGAATATTGAGCCTATACCCTGAGAGCAAGCCATACTCTTCAAGCAAAGATATTAAACTTGGTAAGGACGTTGTGGGCTGTAATAGATATACCAGTACGTCATCAGCAAACAGAGCCAGTTTATGTTCCCCAAGTTTTGTTTCTATACCTTTAATTTCAGTGTTTTGTCTTATCCACTGGCTCAATGGTTCAATGAATAGGGCGAAAAGGAGAGGAGAGGCAGCACACCCCTGTCTCGTACCACGTTCTAGAATGAACGCTTTTGATACGTAACCATTCATTTTGATGTGTGCACATGGTCTATCGTACAGTGCCCGGAACGTGTCAATAATTGAACTATGAAATCCAAATCGTGATAAAACCTTATATAGAAACAACCACCTAACAGAGTCGAATGCTTTTTCCGCATCTAAGCTTATAAGAGCTGCTTCTATTCGATGCTGCTTAATGTGTCTAATAATATGTAGTGTCCTTCCGATATTGTCCTGTGTTTGTCTTTCTCTGACAAAGCCAGTCTGGTCCAAATGAATTAAATCAGGTAGTATCTTTTCTATTCTTTGAGCTAGTATAGATGTAAATATTTTATAGTCAACATTCAATACGCTAAAAGGTCTATAATTACTACATTCCAGTTTATCTTTGCCTTCCTTTGGAATTACAGAAATAATCGCTACCCTCCAAGAAGGTGGAATTTCTTTTTTTTGAAGTACCCAATTACAGACCGTCAATAGAGTCGGAGTCAGCTCCTCTTTAAATGATTTGTACCACTCAGCAGTGAAGCCATCTGCCCCCGGAGACTTGTTTATTTTCAATCTAGATATTGCTACTTGCAATTCCTCTTTTGTTATTTCAGCTACCAAATTTTGATTTTGTTCCTCTGTAACAGATGACAGATTCAAAAAGGTCAGAAATGCAACTATCTGGAGATCATTATTAGTTTGTGGTTGAGAATATAGTTTTATGTAAAAATTTTCAAAACTCTGATGAATTTCCACAAGAGTATGCTCTATTTTTCCAGAATTCGGGTTCCTTATCATACAAATGCTGTTAACTGCTTGTTGTTTTCGTAATTTGTATGATAAAATTTTCATAGCTTTTCCACCTACTTCATAGTGCCGCTGCTTTAAGAACAACAGCTTTTTTTGTATTTCTTGTATATATATTGTATCTATCTCATTCCTTATTTTTTTATTTCATCTTTCACCTTATTATCTTTATTGTCAATATAGTCATTCTAGTTATATAGTTACTTGTCTAAACATTTTTATTCTTGTCAAGATACTTTTTAAATTAGTTGCCAAAAACCAAAATGTGTGAAGCCACAGAGAAAGAAACAGAGACCAAAACAACAACAACAGCACATGGCAAGTCACAAGAGGAAAGGAAAACAAAGGCAGACACAGACAGAGACAAAGAAAGACGAAGAAAACAAAGAAAGACAAGAGCAGTGCAAGACAGGATGTTACAACCACATTCACGCAAACACTGCCCTACACAGGTGGACATACAAAGGCTAACAGTATGCTGACTTTGCTCTGTTTGACTGAATGGTATTGTGATGTTTAAATGCTAATACAGGGATTTTTGTTTCTTTTAAATAGGCTGTATTGTCTAAACAAATAAATAAATAAATGAAGTAACACTGTTCTCAAATGTCATTAATATTTCTATGTACCTGACAGATCTACATAATCCTGTACATGAAAAACTGTGTATATGTAATACCTTTGTACAATATATATATAAATAAAAGGTATTTATTTGTGTTTACTTATACTTCAGAGTAAGTGTATTTATATACATATAGACATAATAATATTTACACATATATATTAACAGTCAACTTTCTGTGTGAAATCTGACCTTCTTCAGTAGCAGAAGGTTAGTTACTTTCAGTTTCGTTTCAGTGCGTCACCTGATCACATGCTGAAAATCGCCCTCTAGTGGTAAATAAGTGGAACATCCCGAGGTGCTCCATTAAGACTGTGTCTGCAGCCTGTACTTTAGTCTCTCTCTCTCTCTTCCTCCCTCTCTCTCTTCATCTCTTCCTAGCCTAAGCACATAAATAGTTTCCAAATATTTAGATGTCTCTCTCTCTCTCTCTCTCTCTCTCTCTCTCTCTCTCTCTCTCTCTCTCCACGTGTTTACAGTGCTCCTCTGCACAAAATATAGGGATAAAGGGATTTATGTGCTTTAACCCTCTGTTTGTGTCTCGTGACTGGTTTCCACATCAGCTCGTCTCACATTTCCCTTCAGTTTAATCCGCCACTGAGCTGAATTAAAGAATCCATACATACAGACACTCAAAATCTCCTGAGTCACACGAGCTTATTGTACATTACTAGATTTCATATTTAATGAACTCACTGTGTGAAATCCAGAGCGGTGAAACCTGTAAACAGCTCCTCTTCACTGAGGGCGTCAGCTTAAAGTTACTTTCAGTTCTGTTTCTATTCATCACCCGATCCCTTGATCAATATCGCCATCTAGTGGTTAGGTGGAAGAATCATCCTTCCCCCAGCAGACCTCAGTTTAAACATGAGACATGCTGTCTCCAATACGGCTTGTTGACAGGATTTTTTCTCTCTTATGAGAATCATTCATTCTCTCTTAATATTGTGTTTGATTTAGTTGTTTATTCACTGAAATATTTATTCTGCTTTTAGATCTGTGCTTATTTTGAGCTTTATGCTCTTGTGAAGCTACTGTATCGACTCAGAGATTAGACCAGTAACACATATTTAAGAACTACGCAAATGTGTCAGAAAAATATGATTAAAAGGAAAATTCATCATCATGGTGGTTCTCAATGGAGATTCTGTTAGATGAGATCACACCACACTCACTGTAGTTAGGAAAACTACACCCATATAAGGTGCAACTTTGCCACCTTTATTACTATTAATATGATTATTTAAATCATTTGAACACACTGCTACAACCCTTAAGTAATTTGCCTATCAATTATCCAGTATATACAGCAGTAATAAGCATTCCCTCTATATTCATTTAATACAACAGTACTTTTGGCGGCACCTTTGGTGTCTTCTTCTGGAACTGCTCTTGAGAATGTTTTCTGTTTACTGCCCCCCAACAGTGAAATTAAATATCCACCCACCCTAAAACCTCATTCACTGTAATGAACTTCACTTCCACAACCAGATATTTCGGCCATAATCTCAAAATACAGCACTGAGGAGAAAAACAAGGTGGATATGACTTTATAAAGTCTCTGGTAGAGCTAATAAACACGCCCCTCTAAAGCGCTGCAGGTCTGTCCCTCTGCTGGTCAAACCGTGCTACTGCACATCACCACGCCTTTTACAGTATTAGTGCTTTATCAGCTCAATGTTCCTCATCAACAGTAATAAAAAAACAGTAAACAGTAACTTATAACATTATACATTTAGACCTTCACTCAAACGCACAGCTATCAGCGTTAAATACAACTATATCTGTATTCACCGCTCAGTTTACAGTGTTTTTAGACCTTCACTCAAACAGACACTCGGCCCTCTGGTCGGAAGTTCGTCTCGTCGTCTCGTGTGTCAGTGATCGGTCACTGAGTATCTGCTGTAGAGTAAATTTAATGAGTTGAGCTGAAAGACCAGTTTAGTATCAGTGAAACACATAAAAATGTGTTTTTGTTTTAAATTACATGCAGAAATTCCTCATTTCTGTTAGTTAACTTACCGAGTGAATCCAAAGCGCTGATGTCTGAACTCTTCCCTCTGTTTGTAACGACGTCACATTAAAGTTGCTTCCGGTTTCTCTCTCACTGTCTCTCTCAAACAGTCTCTGTTCCTCTTCCTTTCTGAGATCAACAGCGACACAGTAGCGAGATCATTTTGCCACCTTTATTACTGTTAAAATAATTATTTAAATCATTTGAACACGCTGCTACAACCCTTAAATAATTTGCCTATTATCCAGTATATACAGCAGTAATAAGCATTCCCTCTATATTCATTTAATACAACAGTACTTTTGGCGGCACCTTTGGTGTCTCCTTCTGGAACTGCTCTTGAGAATGTTTTCTGTTTACTGCCCCCCAACAGTGAAATTAAATATCCGCCCACCCTAAAACCTCATTCACTGTAATGAACTTCACTTCCACAACCAGATATTTCAGCCATAATCTCAAAATACAGCGCTGAGGAGAAAAACAAGGTGGATATGACTTTATAAAGTGTCTGATAGAGCTAATAAACACGCCCCTCTAAAGCGCTGCAGGTCTGTCCCTCTGCTGGTCAAACCGCGCTACTGCACATCACCACGCCTTTTACAGTATTAGTGCTTTATCAGCTCAATGTTCCTCATAAACAGTAATGCGCTCTGAATTCAGACAAAACGCACAGCTATCAGTGTTAAATACGACTATATCTGTATTCACCGCTCAGTTTACAGTGTTTTTAGACCTTCACCCAAACACACTCGGCCCTCTGGTCGGAAGTTCGTCTCGTGTGTCAGTGATCGGTCACTGAGTATCTGCTGTAGAGTAAATTTAATGAGTTGAGCTGAAAGACCAGTTTAGTGTCTGTGAAACTCATAAAATCGTGCTCTTGTTTTAAACCACATGCAGAAATTCCTCATTTGTGTTAGTTAACTTACCGAGTGAATCCAAAGCGCTGATGTCTGAACTCTTCCCTCTGTTTGTAATGGCGTCAGATTAAAGTTGCTTTCGGTTTCTCTCTCACTGCCTCACCCCTCCCCCCCTTCACCAGTCTCTGCTTCACTTCCTTTCCGAGAAGATCAACAGCGATACAGTAGCGAGTTGGGATCACTGTCCATCACTAAAGACATGTATTACCATGTATGAAATGAAAGTAACATTACATTAGAAGCAGTTTGTTTGTTTACTATAGTGAAAAGCCCATAACAGTAAAGTATCAACATTTTTAAATAACAGTCATTTAAGTTCATCTAAAAGGGGCTCCCACCTTCTTGCCAGACCCCCAGAATGTTATACCATCTGGTCAGTGCCTCCAGGCTGGTGATGAAACATCTACATGCTTAAGTTTAATTTATACATTATCTAAATGTATGAATAAAACGTAAATTATATAAAGTATGAATTATATAAATGATGCTGTAACAGACCTAATATTAACTGGAAAACACATTACTTTTGTGTGATGTTTATTTTAAGTATGTACGCAACTTTCACTATGTAAAATAACTATAAATATCTCATCCCCCACTTTAAACGCCTTTGATCTAAGACAGTTAATTGACAGACCTTTCCAGTGTGAGTCTTGATGAGGACAAACTGTGTTTGTGTTTTTCCAGTGGAGAGTCTGCAGATGTTGAGGCTTCCAGACTAAAGCAAGCAGCCAGGATTTAGAGAGGAGGGTCAGACAGTTCAAATGCCATCAACCCTGAAAGTTCTTTGTTAGACCAAACAGGCACTGAACCAACAACTGGTGCTGTAAATACACAGCATGTTTCCACTAAACAAGGCCAAATACAGAAAAGCCTTGTCCAGCTTTCAGTAATTAGCCAGTGAGCGATCAGTTGTGTTGTGAAATGAATTTTATTCATTTCAAGTATAAATCAGCTTTCCCACAGTTCTTTAGGCAAAGTTTTCCAGGAAAAATTGTATAAACTAAGTTCATTTAAAACTGTTGCACTATAACTGCAGATTCTTGGTTCACAGTGAGGAGTGAGGAGAACTTGGCCGGCATCTTGGAAAAATGTGAAAACCTACTGATGCTAGCTGGATGTCTGAGAAACATCACACTTGACAACAAAAAGGAAGTTGTACAAGACGTCATGGTAACACTTTATTTGGATGGTCCACTGTAGATGCTTTGCAGATGCTCAGTCTGTCTTTAACTAACATTTAACTAATTATCTACGAAATGTAACTGAACTTGAAGTTGTGTGTGAAAGGTTCTATGAGATCTAACCATAACCCTAAACCTGACCCTAACCCTAACCACAAAGCAAAGCCTACACCTACTCCTAGACCCAACGCTAACCTTAATTTTGTTGATAGTCAACCAATATCATCAGAAAGTTTGGTAGATCATCTATAGGGGACCATCCAAATAAAGTGTGACCGACATCATCAACTGGTATGTCCTTCAGAGAACAAGGACACAGTTTGAAAAGTAGGATATATTATTGTTGTCCAAAAATTCAGTTTATAATGTGTGTGTATTTTTTAATGTGTAATTTTTAAAACAATGGAATATGTTGTCCGTTCAGGTTCAAAGATGGACTTCATTTCTTTAGCCTTCTGGATGCAGTACAGTCACATCAAAGCAGCTTCAAGCCAGTATTTACAAAGAGTGACCAGGAGCCGACAGCTGAGACTGTTGAACAGCTGTTCAAAGAGGAACCTCTTTCTCAGCCTGGGAGCAACAGATATGAAAATGAAGCTATAAGCCACTGGAAAGATGATCTCTTAGATGCTGAGAACATGTGATTTAAGTATACATTCTTTCAGACAGCTGCCAGTTTGTTTAATCTACTTTTCTAGAGCAGAAACACTTCAAATCTAAAGGTTTTATAAAACTTAGTGAGAAATGGTTTATGACTAATAACTGCACTTTAAACCTCCATATGCCTAATTTACTAAACATGAATGTGTCCTTTTTTTGTAAAAAGCAGTAAACTGCTGTAATGTGACTGTTTTTCAGTGTCTTCAAAGGTGTTTCATTTGAAGACATCCTCATCTTTGCCACAGGGAGTGACAATGTGCCGGCACCTGGCTTTGATCCCCTCCCACAGTGAAATTTCTCCATGATTTGTCGAAATTCCCTTAAGCTAAAACATGTTCTAATATCCTTAAAATTCCATGCAGGGACTCTTATGATGATTTCAAAGATGAGATGTATTTTGGCATTAAAATTCACCATGATTTGGAATGGCTTAATTTGGATCTTTCAAATTACAGTGATCTCACAGTCATTTAATGTAATATAATGACAGCCAGTCATTTCATAGTTTTTATTACTTGAATTCACGTTCAAGTTCAGCAAGTCTTTTTTCTCCAATGAATACACTTGAAACTAAAACTGGGCTATACAGTCTCTTCTTACAGAAGCTCAGTCTGTATGAATTGTAGTATTTGTTTGCAAACTATGAACAGGACTGTGCCTTTAAGCCGCAGTGTCTGTGAACATACTTATTGATTTTAGGTTTATTGTACTGTTCTCACTAACCTCATTATAGTAATTCAAATAAAATGTTACTATATACATGCTTGCATGTAGAATATGAAGCCAGCTTCTTTTTCTTAATTCATACAACTTAAGTGCAAATGTTATTCAGACCTCACGCAGCTTCAAGAAAAATGTCAAGTCCAAAACATGTGCTTTCCCTTAATGGGTTAATTGTCTGTCTGAGAGCTTCATTATAGTGTTGTGAAGAGTTAGTGGAGCTTCAGGAACTTCCACAGTCAAATCCAGGTCACAGTATGGAACAGGTTCTTCTCAACAAACCCCATATTCTTGTATCCACAATTGCTGCGGGGACCTTATTCGCTCAGTTGAAAGGGGATGACTGTCCCATCCTCTGCCAAACATCTGCAGGTGCTGACTGAGTCGTGGAATCATAACATAATGTAAGCAGATAAGGTGATGTTCGTTGTCAGGATCCAAAGCATGCACTTCTTGCAGATACTGGAATGCTGCAAAATAATTATGTGAGACTGTGCACCAAAGGTGGAGCCAAAGGCGTTCTATCTGTTGATTATGTACGCGTCTGCCTGCAATATGGCTGCCTCTGTCTGTAAAATAAATAAATAAGAAATTATACAGAAATGCTAGCTGCAAAAATTGCAATTCTTAATGTTTTTCACTTGATAGGTTAGTTGAGTTGGACAGCAGGTGTCCAACAGGACTGGATCTAAGAAACTACATGCTGTAATATAAAAAGGAGACAAAAGGATTTTGCAAAATGGTCATGCTGAAGATTAACAATAAACACTGACCTCACTCCCACACTGTGAAGAAAACCAGATACATTTTTATAGCCTGAATCTGGAAATTCTGTGATAAAGTTTGTTATGTGTTTTTGCAGTTCATCCTCAGATATTGTGCTGTAATGGCATCAGATTGTAAGTCCATATTCTGCCATTCTTCTATGGGCAGTTCTTGCACTTTCACTGAATGTCTGTGGAACAGTGAATTCATAATGAGAGAAAACTGCTCTTGGGTTATGTTAATTTTAGGGTGAGCTCTGCTATCACTGCAGACATCACCCACCTCAAATCCATTAAAACTACTTTTGGGTTGAGTATCCAACAGCTGCAGTGCCCTGGCCAAGTTCTCCAAAACTGTATCTGCTTCATGTGGCTAGACTGTTAAGCATCTGCTCATTTCTAAAGTGAGCACTTGAGAATCAGTAACAGACGAGGCTAATCAGCTGGCTATATAAAAATTCACAATTTAAAATGAACATCTCTGTGTAATTTGCTGTGATAAGTAATTTCCCCACACTGACTGGCACTGTACACTGCATATCACTGTTGTCAGA